ACAAACACACAGACAGACAGACAGACAGACACACAGACACACAGACAGACACACACACACAGACAAACAGACAGACAGACACACATACACACATGCACACACACACACAACCGTTTATATTAGGCAACTTGGCAAACACATGCAGCTACTATGCTAGTCATGGAAATGAATACGCAGAGAGAAGTCCTCTGTAGATGGCACAGTACACAGTGCACAGTGGCCAGCATCAACCAGACTTACTTCGCCATGCGCGGCAGCAGCACAAACAGTGTAGCCAGCACATCTTGATAACGCTTCTTCAGCTCCAATAATCTGGACATGAAGCAAACACACGGAGAAAAGACACATAGATAAGACTATTGTATGTAAAAAGGTGAACTGGGCATTCACTTGCTCGGTGTGAGGGTAATACGGGTGCGGTTTGTGGGGTTATAGGGCCTTAACACGTCCGCTTGTTGAGAGACTTATCCCCTCTCTCCTGACTCACTTGTGAGGTCTGCATTCGACACTGAGGATATATGGGCGAAGTGGTGGCCCGCCGATGCGAACATATTTGCTTGATGTGTTCATAAACACGTCAGGTGATGCGGCCGCGAATCCGGCTAACTTTTTTTGTTTTTATGTACAAATCAAGCCAAGAGCGGACACGTACATGGACAGACAGATAGACAGACGTGCAACACACACGTGTACAGACACTGTGAGCACATTAACATGCCACCCAGACTGCAGAGCCGTATATCGCACGGCGTTGGCATAGCTGTCAGCTCGGGAACAATTACTGATTATCAGCAATGCTGGTCCCCTCATCACCATGGTATGTTCACTATACTCGTAGACAAGTATTAGTTACTTGCAGAATCTACAGTATTTAAACCTGTCGATCGCCAACAAACTGGGGGGGGGGGGGGGGGGGGTCAGCCTCCTAGCCTACTGTAGAGCAGACCGTTCTTATTTTCATGTACACAGTCTATACACAGTTGAGTCACCATGTATACATTGATAAGCTGGGCTTGGTGAAATCCTAGCCTGGTCGTTCTTCGGCGCCTGGCAGCACTGTAAGGCATCACTTGTAGCATGTAGCCCCACAAAGAGACACACAGTCACACTGGCCCCAGAGCACCATAATCACAATAACATCTATGGCTCAAGCCTTACCGCAATAGACGCAGAGGACGCAGCACGACAAAGAAGCGGAGGTGAGACGCCTGCGCCAGCAAGCCAATCAGGCTCATTATGACGATGACAAAGTCAAACCTTCACACAAGACACACACACACACACACACACACACATCAAACATCAGCAACATGAGTGCATGTGCACACATGAACAGGCGAAGAATTGGAAACGCCGTCTGACCAACTGCTGTGATACGACTATCACCACATAGACAGTCGGGTAGCATGGTAAAGATGTACACTTGAGACCGGCCGCACGTACCCAAACAACATGCAGTACACACTCACACATTAGACATGCTACTACAGGCCGTCACCGTCAGTCAACACAATCCCAACGAACCCCCAACTAACGTCAACCTACAGCTGTACATGATATGTACGTCACTATTAGATAAGCCGTGTACTGTAGAAACATGCTTTTAGTTTGACAGTATATTACAACTGTTTCCGAACAACACGGTATTCCACCAAAGCAAAACAAAGCAAAGCAAAGCAAAACATGTACGTCACTCTGCAGCTGTACATACATGTTCCAGGAGTGAGCAAAGTACTGGCGAGGGCCGAGTCCCAGGATCTTCAAACACGCTTCCATCGTGTAGACTAAAAACACGGCAAACAAGAAGAAGAACAAGACAACAAACCACAGGGTTTATTCACTTGAATGTTGACGTACAGACTATCCGTAACTCTACTAGCCAAAGCACTGCATGTCCACTGTGCATGCGGCTGAGAGGAGCTCAGGTTGTATCAAACAAACTCCTTCAGTTTCTTGGCATTCGTGGTAAAAGGGGTTGATGATAACCTTTAACGAGTATCTCAGTTGTCGCGACAACTTACTAGCTGTGAAGACTGTGCTAGCTATGGCATTGGCTCCGTGTTGATCAACTGTCAGGATAACACACATATACACACACATGCATGCAAACATGCACACAGACACAGACACACACACCGACACATCCCCCCACACACAATGCAGAATACAAACAGCTTGAGAAATTTACCAACACTAGTTGAGCCTGGTCTACATCACACATATGCTTGTAGAAGTACATTATTATGTTGGCTCAAATATCTCGTGGATGCAAGAGGTCAACCAAGCCTCTTACAAGTGAGCTTGCACTGGGCCCGTATACCGTATGTGAATTCGGCCTTCGTAGCCTTGGAAAACTCATCTAGCTCCCACAGCATGCTAGTTCAGGAGACAGGTTTTACTAGAAAGAAAAGTAGTATAGGGCAATGGGCAGGGAGACAATGGGCAGGGAGACAATGAGCAGGGAGACAACGATCAGGGAGAGAATAGGCAGGGAGACAATGGGCAGCGAGGGAATGAGCTAGCTGGTACCTTGTCCAGATGCAGCGTCTTGCAACATGAACACACAGTTGCCAACAATGGTCAGAACTGCAGAAAGAGAACAAGGAAGACAACGCAAGAAGAAAACACACACACACACACACACACACACACACACACACATACACACACGTACAGACAGCACAAAATGTTTCAAAACTGCAGACAAGGAGCTGCATATAACGCATGCACGACAAGTGCTCTTGTATCTGGGCACCTCAGCACTGAGGGATAGGGGGGGGGGGGGGAGGGTCTCTGGAATGTCGTGCCTATCTTGGAAACACACAACAATATAAACACACCGGAGTGAGCTGTAGAGTGTTCGACACAGGTCATTGCAACATTTGAAGATCAGTCGACAACAAGTCAGCAAACACTTACTGATGAAGTAGTGGAAGAATCGATGCTCAACAAGACGATTTATTCCTGAAGAAATGCAACGAGGCACAATCAGCAAACACAATGGAGACAAAAGACAACACCACCACCGGTGGCAGCACCAGCAGCAGCAGCGACAATGTCGACAACAGTCGCAGCAGCAGCAGCGACAATGTCGACAACACAACAGCAGCACCAGCAGCAGCAACAACAGTCGCAGCAGCAGCAGCGGCAACAGCAACAGAAGCAGCAACAGCAACAGCGGTGACAACAACGACATAGCAGCATCAGCAGCAATAGCAGTAGCAGCAGGACACAAGAACACAACATAATGAGGCCAAAGTCAGTCGCAGCAACCACAACAAAATCACAAGTAAGGGGCAACACACAGCCAGAGATCTACAATTCCCACATCCAAACACAAACGGTTAAAGTCAGACCTCGCATAACCGCACACATCCGTTTTCCACAAAAAAATATCCGGATAGGCGAGGGAACCGGAAAATCGAACACACATACTGGATGTATGCATGGCATATGCTGTAAATCGGTGACCAGCGGTTTTCTTCCGGATGGCGAGGGATCCGGATAAAAGAGGACCGGATAAGCGAGGTCTGACTGTACCATAGTCTTCTCGCCTGATGTCAGTGTGAACACCTACAACTCACCGTGTAACATTTTCCAGACTGGTTTTGGCATTTTGGTATACCAAGTCTCCTCTTGCATGGTACCATCAATCTGCGCAAACCAACACCATGAAGACAATTCACCAGTAGAAGAAATATTATCCCAAACATGCTTGTTCACGACAACAGCGCAAATCCAAAACCAGCTTCATATTTCTTCCACAGCTGGGAAGAACGTCAAGAAGCGCACACATAGTGGACACGTACCCGACTCCAGCGCAGCAACACGGCCTCGTAAACCGGGTAACATTCTTCCAGAGTCAAACGACCAGACCCGCTGGTATTGAGCACTTTGAAGACACACCGACACGACACATCATCTGGGCAAAGAAACACATCGCGTCGCAAGCCGGCACAGAACACAGTCACAGACTTCAGGTACTCGCAAACACCACACCTACTTGAAGTATCCAGTAAGCTGCTCGCTACAGTCTTTGAAAAAATCACAAAGACGCCTGTACAGTCAAGCGTAGAGCCAAGTGGAAAACATCATGAGAAATGACACGAGTCACTAAGTACCACAAATCTGGATTATATGTGGGTCCCTATAATGGGTCGGCTCCCTATAGCAGGGCGGGTTTGACCAAAAAAGGAGCACTATGCACTCTGAGCTGTCCATATATGCGACTCAAACCGACCCGCTATAGGGAGAACACCCAAACCGACCCGCTATAGGGAGAACACCCAAACCGACCCGTTATAGGGAGAACACCCAAACCGACCCGTTATAGGGAGAACACCCAAACTGACCCGCTATAGGGAGAACACCCAAACTGACCCGCTATAGGGAGAACACCCAAACCGACCCGCTATAGGGAGAACACCCAAACCGACCCGCTATAGGGAGAACACCCAAACTGATCCGCTATAGGGAGAACACCCAGACTGACCCGCTATAGGGAGAACACCCAAACTGACCCACTATAGGGAGAACACCCAAACTGACCCGCTATAGGGAGAACACCCAAACTGACCCGCTATAGGGAGAACACCCAAACCGACCCGCTATGGGGAGAACACCCAAACTGATCCGCTATAGGGAGAACACCCAAACTGACCCGCTATAGGGAGAACACCCAAACTGACCCGCTATAGGGAGAACACCCAAACTGATCCGCTATAGGGAGAACACCCAAACCGATCCGCTATAGGGAGAATACCCAAACTGAACCGCTATAGGGAGAACACCCAAACTGACCCGCTATAGGGAGAACACCCAAACTGACCCGCTATAGGGAGAACACCCAAACCGATCCGCTATAGGGAGAACACCCAAACCGACCCGCTATAGGGAGAACACCCAAACTGACCCGCTATAGGAACAGGCCTGTTGCTGGGTCCATCAAGTCACAAAATACCACAAATCTGGATTATATACTAGTTGTGACTGTAGGTTTATGCCAGGTGGCGATCCTGAGACAGCTGATCTCTGTGACCACTTTGTCTTGTTGTGTAAACAAGCTCTGCTCCTGTGCACATTGGGCACTCTGTTGGCCCAGACGACTCTGATCTCACGAGAACATGGCGTACATGTACTTCTGAAAAAGAGTCGTAACAGGTTATAATGTGGAGTTGCACATTTTCTTTAAAAGAGTCATGTAGTCTTGAAAGCTGCACAGACTTGAGTCTTGAGAGATACAAAAGTTCACGATGGCGGGAAACCTTGTTTTGTTGTGTTACTCCGAGTTCGATAGCAATAGGGCCCAATCATCAGACAAAATAGTGGATGCTGACTATGGTTCCTGCATGATACAATACACAGCTAGGGTGTGTACTGTATATTGGGGAGGAGTGTGCAAGAACCTACATTAAGACTTGTGAACAGTGCTGCTCAATGAAATCGAGTCGCGAGGGTCAAGTTGGCACCGTGCACCTTTCGCAGCCCAGTTTTCGCAGGTCTAGGGCTGTGCAACGCCCGGCGCGTACTTGAGAAACTCGACCTGATTTCATTGAGACTTATGTACTGCTGGTCCTCACCTATTGCTGGCCGATAGTAGCGCATGACACCACGGAAGTGGATAAAGGGTAGTGAAATCTGCAGCAACGGGAAAACAGCCAAGCAACAACCAAGAACAACCATGCTCAGAGTGCATTCGTGGTTATATACACACTGAGCAGTAGCCAGAGGTGTGTCGATCACACCACGGGTTTCCTGATCTACACAGTATGCAACTATGCATGCATAGTGATCTACACCGTATGCAACTATGCATGCATAGTGATCTACACACAGTATGCAACTATGCATGCATAGTGATCTCCTACACCTACAATACAACCTGTCAAGGCGACACTCAGATAAGGCAACCACCTGTCCCAGAAGACCACTGAAACCAGGACCAAAGGATGCTATTTCCAGTCAAACGACCCTGGATAAGGAGACCACCTGGCAACAGAGACCACATTTCGAAGGTCCTTTGAGCGGTCCCCTTAGACAGGTTTCACTGTATCTTGAAGTGCCTACTGTGGGACTGTAGGTTAGCTAAGTACAAGTTCTAGTCTGTTAACTGAAGGGGTTTCTCTGCCTCTTCAAGTGAGCCAGCAACGAGAAAGGAGCAGTTCACGCAAGTTTGCTCGAGGCCATACCAGGCTGCAGGTACTGTTGTGGGCATTGAAATCCGTTGAGAGGTCAAGCGGCCACGAGGCGCTGGCCTTGCAGCCATGAGCACTGCTGGTCCATTTCGCGGTGTTGCAGTGCGTGTGCACACTACGCACGCAGCATGCTGGCCCCAGTCATTGCACCGAATTTCAATATCCACAACAACAGTACATATTGTGTGCACTTTCCAGCTTGATGCCGTCTGCACAGGGGAAACTTACCCGACGTTGTCCGCACAGCAGATTGAACATCTTCCTCACTGCCTCGCTGTACACACAAGTTCAACACACAGATATCATGGAACAGCTCAAAGAGGAGTACAACCAGAATAACTCAAAACCAATAGCACCGGTGACTTCCATTGATTAGAATGTGCATGTACCATAGTGAATACAAATACTGGATGTACTGGATAACCACCGGCATGACAAGCACAGAGACGTCCACTCACTGACATTAGATAGTGCAAGCAACAAGCATAACCTCAGTGAGTTAGCCCTGGCGAGCAACAAGCATACCCACAGTGGACTATCCAGGATAAGCAACACGCAATCCCTTAGCGGGCTATCCAGGATAAGCAACAAGCATACCCACAGTGGACTATCCAGGATAAGCAACACGCAATCCCTTAGCGGGCTATCCAGGATAAGCAACACGCAATCCCTTAGCGGGCTATCCAGGATAAGCAACACGCAATCCCTTAGCGGGCTATCCAGGATAAGCAACACGCAATCCCTTAGCGGGTTATCCAGGATAAGCAACACGCAATCCCTTAGCGGGCTATCCAGGATAAGCAACACGCAATCCCTTAGCGGGCTATCCAGGATAAGCAACACGCAATCCCTTAGCGGGCTATCCAGGATAAGCAACACGCAATCCCTTAGCGGGCTATCCAGGATAAGCAACACGCAATCCCTTAGCGGGCTATCCAGGATAAGCAACACGCAATCCCTTAGCGGGCTATCCAGGATAAGCAACACGCAATCCCTTAGTGGGCTATCCAGGATAAGCAACACGCAATCCCTTAGCGGGCTATCCAGGATAAGCAACACGCAATCCCTTAGCGGGCTATCCAGGATAAGCAACACGCAATCCCTTAGCGGGCTATCCAGGATAAGCAACACGCAATCCCTTAGCGGGCTATCCAGGATAAGCAACACGCAATCCCTTAGCGGGCTATCCAGGACAAACAGACAACATACACATACACTGTTACACGCCGGCAACCTACCGTTGATGGAGCAGCAGCTTACGAAACTTTCTCTTCTCAAATTCTTGAAATGTTGAGTAGACAACAGCGGTCAGCTAATGATTCAAAACAAAAATGAGAAGAAATCACACAATCACATTGATTATGAAGTTTGCATGCCGGAGGTTATGATGGCTGAGTCTTGTCCGAGGATGCAGGTCATGGAAGGATGCGTTCAAGGGCAAGATCAGTCATCGCCGAGAAAAAGGATGCTTGATTTGATTCCTGACATGAATTGAGGCCAAAAGGTCAAACTGTCACCCTCCCGAAGTAACGTCGGCACGGCTTCATAAGCTGACTAAGCACATGACAGGAAAGCTGATCATGTGTCATGTAAAAATACAAATTCAAGAATATTGCCCTGACCAGGCATGATGGAACACTAGCCTGCCAGAGTACATGTACATTGCACACACTGGAGTGTACACAGGCAATGAACTGACCAGGCATGATGGAACACTAGTCTGCCAGAGTACAGTGCACACAGTGGAGTGTACACAGGCCCAACAGAACCAGTCCGGTTGGTCTGGTCACAGCCGGACCGACTTTTTGGCCAACAACGTGTGCTGATATGAGCAGGTCATGTGTATACCCTGCATATCATACACAGACGTATGAAAGGCTAGGGTATGGCCGGACCAATCTAAAACTGCTTACGCCGGTCCTGGCGCACAGGCATACAACTGACCAGACATGATGGAGAACTAGCCCAACGAGAGCAATGTGCACAGTGAAAAATGATGCAGTGTTGTGTGCTGTGTGTGGTCTGAGATCGCAGGTACCTTCTCTGATATGTGACGCAGTGTGATGTATGACAGGTCTCTGCCAAGGATACCCCAATGAAGCGGTCTCTTAGCGATGTAACAGAAGTGTATTATCGCGGCACTGCGGGTGGCACTACAGCATACTTACAAGATTGAGCAAGATATAGAGTGTGATACAAAGGTAGATGATGAAGAACGCCGGCGCCCATTGGTAGTAGTTGTAAGCCGGCATCATGACATCCGGATAGCTGTGAAGTGGACATGCACACATGCAAGCATATGCACACACGCGCGCGCGCGCACGCACACACACACACACACATATACATACATACACACATGTGCACAGACATAACTATTATTATCTTTCTTCAACTTGCGCAGATAAACTCATCAAAACTACACGTCTACCTGACCAGTACAGCATGTAAGTGCCAGGCTATATGTGCAGGTGAATACAGATACAATGAGAAGATGATCTGTTTGAGCTGGATAAAACAACACACATACATACAAACACCCACGCGTGCGCGTGCACACACACACACACACACGCACGCACACACACACACACACACACACACACACACACATGACCTACTTTGCCGTTGTCACTAGGATGAACAGGCTGACAAAACTGTTCTTGAATGAACTGAAATTCTGCAAACCAGGCACCAGAAAACGGGGACACAAGAAAACACCATCACCATCGACACACTCAAGCACAACACAGAGAAGCACAGGAACGTAGTGGCTGGCAGCACGCCAAACCGGCAAGGGGACAACAAACTAATTCAGTGGATACAGTGTACAAGTACTGTTGGTGCAGGCCAGCAGCAGCATCAGGTCAAAGCCCAGTGACAGTGAAAATGCAAAAACTGCACCGGCCGACGGCGTAGCTCTAGAGATAGCGGAGATTGGTACCGCTGAATCTGCCATGAGGACATCATATTTCATCCTGTCGACATCCTGATAGATGGCATTCGGGTGAACCCTAAAATGAGTTTGTATTCTGTGTGTGTACAGGGCCTGGGGCAAGAGTGAAGTTCTGCTTTTCACTGCACATGCATGTGTGTTGATGCCCAGCCATCACACACGAAATTCTCCTCCCCCCCACACACACACACAAGCAGGTGCGTAGCTCGTGTACAGTCAGCGTAGTCCAGTCACTGCAACAGCAAGTGGCTGCCATAGTCAAAAGAAGCAAACTGGAAACTACGAGGTTGTCGCTGGTACATGGTCATCACACCACAGATTTGTGAGCTACGCCCATGCACAAGCACAGCTCTCCAAACTCCTGCTCTCTAAAGCCAACAGTGATGCAGACATCAGCAGCCAGGGAAAACACATGCATTCCAACATGCCAACAAAATCCAGCAGAATACCAGTACGGATGGCAAGCATACTTACCGGATCATTTGGGTTCTCCGAGAACAGGAAGTAACCTAGTCAAGTGGAAACCATAGCGATCAGCACACATGCAGGTGCAAGCATGCACAGACACACACACACACACACACACACACACACACACACACACACACGCACGCACACACGCACACACAACTTAAAACAACCGCTACCACTATGCTATCGTCATCTGAACTGCTGCCCAGCAAATAGTGCGACTTGTACCCTATCATAATAAAGTTAGGGGGGGGGGGGTACTAGACCCCAGTGGGCACAATTGATTAAAGTGTGTGCACTGAGTGCATAGGTCAATACAAATTTCCTTACTTGAAAGTTGCTTGCAACTACTCATAAGTCTGAGGGACTGGAAAAGGAA